ATCTTCTCTCAATTGTTAGGTTATCTTTTCATTTTGTTGATGGTTTCCTTTGCTGTGCAGAAACTTTGTAGGTTTTTGTAGGTTTTTTTTCCCCCTGAGGAAGATTTGCCCTGAACTAACATCTGTGCCAGTCTTCCTCTTTTTTCCTTGTGGGTTGCTGTCATAGCACAGCTGCCTCTGAGTGGTATAGGTCTGTGCCCGGAAACTGAACCCAGGCTGCTAAACCAGAATGTGCTGAACTTAACCACTAGGCCATGGGGCTGGTCCCCAGAAGCTTTTTAGTTTGATGTAGTCTCATCTGTTTGTTTTTTCTTTTGTTTCTCTTGCCTGGTCAGACATGGTATTTGAAAATATGCTGCTAAGACTGATGTCAAAGAGTGTACTGCCTATATTTTCTTCTAGAAATTTTATGGTTTCAGGTCTTACATTTAAGTCTTTAATCCATTTTGAGTTAATTTTTGTGTGTGGTGTAAGATAACAGTCTACTTTCATTCTTCTGCATGTGGCTGTCCAATTTTCCCAGCACCATTTATTGAAGAGATTTTCCTTCCTCCATTGTATGTTCTTGGCTCCTTTGTTTAAGATTAGCTGTCCATAGATGTGTGGATTTATTTCTGGTCTGTTGATTCTGTTCCGCTGATCCATCTGTTTTTGTGCCAGTACCACGATGTTTTGATTACTATAGCTTTATAGTATATTTTGAAATCAGGGAGTGTGATACATCCAGCTTTGTTCTTGTTTTTCAGGATTCCTTTGGCTTTTGGGGGGTCTTTTCTTGTTCCATTTACATTTTAGAATTCTTTGTTCTATTTCTGTGGAAAAATGTCAGAACTTTGGTAGGAATTGCATTGAATCTGTAGGCTGCTTTAGGAAGTATGGACATTGTAACTATGTTAATTCTTTCAGTCCAAGAGCATGGAATAACTTTCCATTTCTTTGTGTCTTCTTCAGTTTCTTTCAACAATGTTTCATAGTTTTCAGTGTTCAGGTCTTTCACCTGTGGTTAAATTTATTCCTAGGTATTTTATTCTTTTTGTTGCGATTATATTCTTAATTTCTCTGTCTGCTACTTCATTGTTAGTGAAATACAACTGATTTTTATATGTTGATTTTGTATACTGCAACTTTACTGTATTCATTTACTATTTCTAAGAGTTTTTTTTTTTTTTTTTTTAAGATTTTCTTTTTCCTTTTTCTCCCAAAGCCCCCCAGTACATAGTTGTGTATTCTCAGTTGTAGGTCCCTCCAGCCGTGGCATGTGGGATGCTGCCTCAGCATGGCTTGATGAGCAGTGTCATCTCCGTTCCCAGGATCAAACCGGTGAAACCCTGGGCCGCCGAAGCAGAGGGCACAAACTCAACTGCTCGGCTGGCCCCCTCTAAGAGTTTTTTGATGGATTCTTTACGGTTTTCTGTATATAATCGTCTTGGCAGCCTTGTTGAAAATTAATTGACTATCTTTCTGGATTCTCAATTCTGTTCTATTGATCTGTGTGTGTGCATTTGATTTTGTTGACCAGTTTTCTCTTGGAAATTCTTGTCTTCTTGTTTTTGACAGTTTGTCATCTGGGTTCTCTTTGTTTCTCTTGTCACAGTCTTCCTCCCCTTACTCCTAAATTCACAGTCTCAGGGGCTCCGGTTTTCTTAAATCTTCCCCAATTCGTGTGTACCCGTATAGTGCTCTGGCCCTCTTCTCTGTCTCAGGGCAACCCTAGCTTGAAACCTTTAAATAATCTTCGATGGTTTCTTTTCCATCACTCTTCATAATCAACGGTTATTATATCATTTTATCCCTGCCTTTATAATTTACTACTGTTCTTTCCTGGACTCTTCACTGTGGCTTTCTGACCTGGCTCTGTGGTCAGGTTTATTGTATGTACTTTTGTTAGGTTAATCCTGTGTGTCTATGACTTTGACTTCCCTCTTTGGCTCAGGGATTTTTCTTCGTACTCTGTTCATGGTCTTTCCATCCTCATCTTCCCCTTCTGTACACATCCCTCGCCTCACAATTAGACTAGAGAACTCAGTCACCAAACATGCCTTCTTATTGTATACCCCAGCTTGATAAGTGGTTCTAGAGTATAAGCATTTGTATTACAAATCCTGGCTCTACCATTTACTTTTAAGTGACTGTGATTAAGTTAGTTAACCTGTCTAAGTTTTAGTTGTTTCATTTGTAAAGAGAGGCTAATACAACCTACTTTCTGGGCAGCTCATACGTTTAAGTAAAATATGTATAGTGCCATAGAATGGACATTTAATAAATGTTGGATATTATTATGTTGCTGTTTGTTTTGCTTGAGGTGCTAACTCTCCTGTCAACGATCTTTCCTATCGTTTGAGGGCACAGTCCATTTTAGAGTACCATGTCTTTCATAAAACTGTTGCTGGCATTTCACTTCTTCTCCAAACTGGTTTTTAGTGCTTCCTCCTTTGAAACCATATGTGGTAGTGTGTGCCCTTCATACAGCTTGTATGTTAAAATGCCACATAATTTCTGTATGATCACATTCCTCTTTTCTGGATTATAAACCATTTGAAAGCAGGGATAGTCTTGTTTAGCTTTGTATTCCTGGCAGTGGATTTGGTTGGTTGTTTTAGTGTGTAGCAAGCTCTTAATAAATAGGTGAAATTCTCTTTATTGTATAAGGCACTATCTCTTGTTTAATGTTAATATTAATACTGTGTAAGGCAAATTTTTTTTTCTGCAAGACTTTGAGACAAATTCTTCCATGAGTAAATAGCTTTTCCTACTATCTTCCCATAGTACCGTGTCTACAGGGCTATTGCAATTCTGATTGCATTGCAGTACTCCCTAATTTGTGAAGCCTTTGAGTACAGGTGCCTTGTCTCAATCAGCTTGTGTGTGTGTGTGTGTGTGTGTGTATGTGTGTATGTGTAAGAGTGGCCCTGAGCTAACATGTGTTGCCAATCCTCCTTTTTCTACTTGAGGAGGATTATTGCTGAGCAAATGTGTGTGCTGATCTTCCTCTGATTTGTATGTGGGATACCACCACAGCATGGCTTGATGAGCAGTGTGTATGTCTGTGCCTGGGATCTGAACCTGTGAACTCTGGGCTGATGAAGTGGCACATGCGAACCTAACTACTATGCCCCTGGACTGGCCCCATTAACCAGCTTTTAATTGTTTGCTTGTCTCTCTTCCTCCCTCCATAGAGCTCCATGAGGACATGGGCTGTTTCTTGTGCACCGTATCACTGATGCCTAATATAGTCTTTGATGTATGGTGGTGCTCAAATGTTTGTTGAATGAATGCATGAGTTCCATCTTTTTATTTTTTTAAAATTTTTTTCGAGGAAGATTAGCCCTGAGCTAACATCTGTGCCCATCTTCCTCTACTTTATATATGGGACGCCTACCACAGCGTGGCTTGCCATGCGATGCCATGCCTGCACCTGGGATCTGAACTGGCGAACCCCGGGCCACCGAATTGAAACATGTGCACCTAACTGCTGCGCCACCAGGCTGGTCCCGAGTTCTATCTTTTTGAGTATCATACGAGAACACTTTTAATGTTATGTATTCACATAGTAGTTGCCATATGTCTGTATCTTCCCATGTCTGTATCTTAGATCCAGGAAAAACATTTAACTATAAAATACTTCATTGTGAGTTATTTCTGACTTGACAAATACGCAGAGCTTGTCTTTACTCTTAGTACTATATGGTGCTTCTAAGCCTAATTAATATATGAATCTGAGGGTGAATTTAACGTTTTTTTCCCCTCTAAGCTCATATTCTGCAACTAAATTAGCTAGGAGAAATTGGTTAGGTTTCTTCAGAAGTAGCTAGGCTTCTTGAGCATACATTTGTGGAAGAGATGAGGGGGTGAATGGCCGTTAGGCTTTAATCTGAAGTGGACACATTTAGTCAAGGGAAGGAGTAATTGCTTTTCCAGAAATCCAAAGATAGTCCGCATACGGGCACTGTCACTGTAACTGGTGGAACAGACAAAGCCCTTGCCCTTCAGCTGCTTCCAGCTATAAGAAAAGAGGGAGAGGAGGCACCTTAAATGATTATTAATAGAAACAAATGAACAAAAGTATAAGTTATTTTACAAGTCTCTAGGAAATGTTATAAATAAATTCTTAGCATTGTTGAACTCAGGATTGTATGAGCTGGATAGTCCTAATAACTGTAGTAAAATGTATATTTTTTTAGCTTAAATTTTTTAAATTATGCATATAGTACCTGTTCACTATAGAAAATGTTTTTATAAGTACAGAACAATGTAAAGAGTCATATTGTAATCTGGTATAACTGTTATTTGCCTTTTGACTGCAATCTTTTTTCTTTTTTTAAAACACAGACTACGTCATTTATAGTTTTGTCTTTTTTCTGCTTAAGAGTTCAAAATAAGTCAACATTTTTCATTTTAATATTTGCATAATCAATTACAGGCTATACCATAATTTAACTAGATACTTACTGTTGAGCATTTGAGCTGTAGACAGTGTTTTACTATGAGGAAAATGAATGAGCCAGTGACTGAACTCGGTCTTTTCACATACCAGTGAGTCTCTCTTAGACCTGCACACATTAGATAGTGGGGTATTAATGAAGAGTGGTGGTCCTACATAATGGTTGCTGTATTTCTGTATCATTCTGTGGATGTGAGGGTAGGTTGCCTTAGATCCATTTTTTCTCCCACTTAAGTCTTGGGTTTTTTTTCCTTAGGATACATATAATGCTCCTTTTTGGAAAGGAGTATTATTAGATCAATGGAAAGAAGTATTCTTAAGGCTCTTAACATATAGTGCCAAATCACTTTCCAGATACTGTGCTTTGACCAGCAATATAGGAGGGTACTTTTCCTAGTGACAGCAATAAAACAAACTAAAGAAAAACAACAACAATATAAAAACCCTTAAACTAAATTCTGTGCATGAAACATACAAAGTTTAAACTATTTTTATCTTTTTAAATGTAGACCACTTATTTGCTTCATTCCTGAGTTTGTTTTGTCATTCTGTAAAACAGGTGATTTGATGAAGAGTGCTGCGGGAGAGTTTGCAGATGATCCTTGCTCTTCTGTGAAGCGTGGCAACATGGTTCGGGCAGCTCGAGCTTTGCTCTCTGCTGTTACCCGGCTGCTTATTTTGGCTGACATGGCAGATGTCTACAAATTACTTGTTCAGCTGAAAGTTGTAAGTACAGGCCTGTGTCTGTAATTTGTTCTCTCTATCGTAGTGAGGCTGCTGTTGGCCATACTTAGTTCAGCATTCCTCAGGATTTGGTTTAGTTTTCAGCTTGGTTTACCTAAATGGATTGGTAGTGTTTTTGTTTAATTTCCATTTACTCTTCTATTCCAAGTGTACATCATGCTGGCTTGTGAGCCTGTGTTGTCTTGGTTCTAATGAAGAACTTGTAGCAGAGGTTTTGTTTTGACTCCTTCCCTTTCTGCAGTAGTGATTAAACATTTCCATGTACCAGTAGAGTTCCAGAGTTGAGAAACCCAGATGTGTTAAATTGTATCCTTTTAGATAAAAGTCAATATAATACTGTCCTTCCCACCTCCTATAAAGCTCCAATGTAATAGCTGCTCAAATATTTGAGGGCCATGTAAACTCAAGAGAAAGTTCGGATTGCTATTTGAGTAGCTGTTAAAAGGAATAAAAAAATTCTAGATTGTCTTTATATACAGACTTGCTTAGAATTTTTATTTTTGGGGTTATGTTTTATAGGTGGAAGATGGTATCTTAAAACTGAGGAATGCTGGCACTGAACAAGACTTAGGCATACAGTATAAAGCCCTGAAACCTGAAGTGGACAAGCTGAACATTATGGCAGCCAAAAGACAACAGGTAAAGCTATGATTCAGGGATGTAGTAAAGTTGTTTATATTATTATCGAGTGGGAAAAATCCATTTTACCTAAGTTTTCTGAAGGTACCAATACCTCCCTCTGCCAATATAGTCCCATTAAAACACTTAATTTATGAAGTATCCTTTCAGTGTTGTTAATAAAGGTGTAATTAAGTTGCATTCATGTTATGCTCTATTTTAATTCTTGTGAAAATTTTAAGGAGCTTGGCAGTTTGCAGTAGTGTCTGGAAAGGTTGCTTGGCTTTCACTATGTACATTCAAAGATTAACTTGAGTTGGTGGTGGAGTTTAATTCAGATTTTTAAAAACCTTAAACCAGTTAAAACATACTGGAATTACTTTTATATTAGAAAGTATCTCACTCCTCCCCCCATATTTCGTCACTTTTAAAGTATTTCTTTTTTTTTTCTTTCTGCTTTTTCTCCCCAAACCCCCCCAGTCATAGTTGTATATCCTAGTTGTAAGTCATTCTAGTTCTTCTATGTGGGATGCTGCCACAGCATGGCTTGATGAGCAGTGTGTAGCCCCATGCCCAGGATCCAAACCGGGGAAGTTGGGGCTGCCAAAGCGGAGCACGTGAACTTAACCACTTGGCCATGGGGCCGGCCCCCAAGCCTCCCTTGTATCATTCAAGGCAGCAGCTGCCCACTGAGGAAATGCTAAACCTCATAAGGTCTGCAGGCTCTCTGGAATTTACCTATTTATCCTTAAGGTTTTTTTGGGACATAGTGTGGTAGCGAGGATGTTGCTACAAATGATAATGAATAGCTCTAAAAAGGTGTTCACTATGTGCTAAACACTGTTAGAAGCCCTTTATAAACACAGACTCATTTAATCTTCATAAAATAGTATAAAGTGGATAACTATAATTGATCAGATGTTAATTTTTATAGATGAAGGAACTGTAGCACGTAGAGGTTACATAATTTGGCAGGGTCATTCATCTACTAAGTGGTGGAGTCAGATTTTGAACCCAGGCTGACTGGCTCCAGAGGATAGAGATTTTTTCTGTTTACGTTGTTACTGTGGGCCCTGGGGCCTAGAACATTGCCTGAATGGAGGAGTGTTCAATAAATATTTGTTAAACCAACAAACGAATAAGCTGTACTGCACATCCATCCTGGAATGGGATTCTAAGTAAGGCCCTAATCTATTACTTTCTTGGGCTAGAATATTATTTGCTGACCACAAGTGTTGAATTTCCATTAGGCTGCAGGCTCTTCTTTGACTGTATGGGTGAAATAGTTGGCAGAGGTAAGACTGGGTCAGCATCAACCCTGGTTCCTGTGAGGAGCGCTACCTCTGCCTTGCATTGTCCACTTGGGCTTCCCAATATGCTAGAGATGGAATACTTTGATGGTTACATTCCGCTCTCCCAGGTCCATAGAGCTTGTTGAGATATTTGGTAAAAACGTAATGCTTCTTAGGTAGTTTGTGAACTCTGACTTTCATGATTTTTTTCCTGAAAACCTGAACAGACACATTGTAATGGATAGTACTGCCAGTGTTTTATGTGTAAATTATCTGAACTGGCTGGGTTTGATGACCATGGACCGTCTCTTTAAGTATAGTTGTTTGAATCCAAGAGAAGACATCTGATCAAATGTATCTATGGCTACAATTTTAAATTGTTAAGACGGAAATGAGAGGAAACTTTCACTTGAATTTCCAGCTGTTGGTTAGAGAGAGTGTTATAGATTGCTTAGAAGTTAGCTTCTGTTTCTTGGTCACTGCATGTGATGGTTAGTTCACATCACATTGAAGGCAGTCATTTCCTCTTTATGTTTTTGTTTGACTGTTCCTGAGTCTGCTTTGAAACATAGTTGGATTGGTGAAGTTAGGGAATCACGAAGGCTAAAGTAGACCAAGGAACTCTAATTTCGTAATTTATTGCATTGCCTAATAGCTCATTTTTTTCACTAATTTGGATTACTTATCAGTACTACATATCTTGAAAGGAATACTTACAATCAATCATTATTCTTATTAAAGTAAATAGTGCTGCTGTGTGATAGTCTCTATTTTCCTATCTTTACTTAACAAAACCTAGTTTCTTTGTGCTATGGCACAAGCGGTTCAAAAGAGAAAAGGTGGAACACGTTAGTAGTTAGGACAAATGATAATATTTAGCTCTTATTTTCTTCATAGAATAAGATATACCCCCTGTATTGGTAAATCAGAGTCTATCAGAAATAACACTATGGTGAGGGTGAGACATTTAGAAAATACCACACAGAATATGTGTACCAGCTGCTTAAGCATATTGGTTAGCCCTGGCTGCTTGTCATAGCTTGAGTCTTGAGATGATCATCAATTCTCTAAATCCACAGGGTCCTGTCTCTGAATATTTAACCTAATATTAGTCTTTGGAAAAGAAGAAGTTTATCACACCAGGCCAGGCAGTGGCTTTGGGAAAGTCAGGTGCTGAATAGTAATTCTGGCAGCTATTAACTTTACGTGACTACAAGTGTCTTTAGTATCCTTTATAAGAGGCTGTACTGATCTTGCTTATGGATACTGAGGAAGAATGCCAAAGCTGATTGCAAAGCATTTTATAAAACAGAGGACAATATAAATACTTAAAGATAAATGCTTCCCTAGAAGGCTTAAAGTCCCCAAGGTACTGTGGGCAGGATATCTAGAAAATGCCACACAGAACATGCGCACTAGCTGTTTAAGCATCATAGTTAACCTCAGCCCCCTCTCATAGCTTGAGTCTTGAAGTGATCACTGATTCTCTAAATCCACAGGGTCCCGTTTCTGAATATTTAGCCTAATGTGCTGTGCTATAGGGCATTTGGAGTGCTGTGAGCTATTACTTGTAAATTCGGATTCCAATGAGAAAAGAATTCTGGGAGGAAAAGTAAGCTGTCATATTATAGAAGGTTTGAATAAAGATGCAAACCTAAAATATATAGTGAGATGAGGTTTCAGAAAAAGGAAGCCAGTTTGGTGTCTCCAGTGCTTAATTAAGAACTCATCTAGAAAGATGAGCCATTAAATACCTAAGTCAGATTTTAAATTGAGTAATTGACTTTGGCCTTTCTAAGTTAGTCAGTTTTCTCTTAGTGTTTACACATGTAATACTCATTTTTAAAATGTTTAAATTTGTACTCTAGGATTCAGTTGGTGACATTAACATTGAAATTCTGTGATTACATGTAAAATAGACTTGTAACAGTTAGGTCAGTTAGGGTTATCACATATTTTTCTTGTGTGGTGATGATCCATTTGTTTTACCTGAGGAAGATTCGCCCTGAGCTAGCATCCGCTGCCAGTCTTCCTCTTTTTATATGTGAGCAGTTGCAGAACCAAACCCAGCCCGCAGGAAGTGGAGTGTGCTGAACTTAAACCACTAGGCCACCGGGGCTGACCTTGTGGTGATCCATATTTACTAAAGGCTTAGTTTTTTTTCCTCTGAGTAATTTCAGTAACAAGGGGATAACGCAAGTTCTCCCTTTCCATCTTGCTCGTTGTTCGTATCACTTACTTGTCACTTAGCATATCTAGTCAGTCTACCAAATAGATGCTAGTAGTGGAAATCATGCCAAGAACCTCAAAAGATTTTAACTGTGGATTAGAATTATGGGGTAGAGGAAATTGTAAAAGGACAGTTTCACTTAAGACCACATGTATATAGAGTATTACAATGAAATACAAACCTTTTGGATTAAAGTCACGGAGCACATGAGTCTCAGCTTTATGCCTTAATGACCTCTGTCTTTTATTTATTTTTTTTTAAGATTTTACTTTTCCTCCCAAAGCCCCCTGGTACATAGTAGTGTAGTTTTAGTTGTGGGTCCTTCTAGTTGTGGCATGTGGGACGCCACCTCAGCATGGCCTGATGAGCGGCGCCATATCCGCGCCCAGGATTTGAACCGATGAAACACTGGGCTGCCGAAGCAGTGCGCTCAAACTTAACCACTTGGCCACTGACCTCTGTCTTAAGGTGGTCTTTGGGAGAGTAGCCTGCCACATCCTCACCTGGTTGGTTTGCATAGTTCACGTGCACCTGTGGTATCCCATCTCAAATTTCACGGAACTCTTGTAATGAGCTTTTATAACTTACTGAGAAAGAAATCCTTGTGATAAATCTTACTCTATTTAAATGTGTCTGTGAATGATTTTTCTGTTTTGGTTGGAATAGATATATACATCTTTATGTAGTTGTAATCAAGATGCTGGTCAGTTTTATGTTTTGCTTTTTATTTAATGCTGTGCTAGGTGCTTTACATGTATTATCCCATTAAATCCACAAGACAATTATAAGAGAGGTGCTGTTACCTGCTCCTATTTTACAGGAGGTGAAACTGAACAGGGAGAGTTTAAATAAGATCACAATAGCCAAGAAAAAGTAGAGCTGGAAATTTAAATCCAGGACTGTGTGGTTGGGAAAAGTGTGAACTCCTACTTTCTCAGCCATACTGCCTCCTTTGTGATAAACTGTTAAGCCAGGCTGTTAATGAAAATATTGTGTCTAATTAGTAGAAATTCTAACTTTTCAGCATTTACTGGAAAATTTTAATATAAATAGAACCTATAGAAAGACTATTTCAATTTCTTGTTTTACTCTTGTAGGAACTGAAGGATGTGGGCCATCGTGATCAGATGGCTGCAGCCAGAGGAATCCTGCAGAAAAATGTTCCGATCCTCTATACTGCATCCCAGGCGTGCCTACAGCACCCTGATGTTGCAGCCTATAAAGCCAACAGAGACCTGATATACAAGCAGCTGCAGCAGGCAGTCACAGGCATTTCCAATGCAGCCCAGGCCACTGCGTCAGACGATGCCTCCCAGCACCAGGGTGGAGGAGGAGAATTGGCATATGCACTCAATAACTTTGATGTAAGTTATACTTGGGAGGTTAAGCTTTCAGACTCTTGACCATCCCCCGAAGTTAACAGATCCCTGGGGAGATGTGATCAAGGTTTCTCATGAAAGCTCAATTCTGCTTAGATTTGCACTCTCAGTTGAAATAAGTTTGGTGAATCATCTGTCTACTTGATCTTGACTTGGCCTAAAGCATTTATTTTTTTCTTTCTTTCTTTTCTCTTTTCGTTTGAGTTAAACTTCTGAATTCTTTTATGCAACTTGTGTTTCCTATGAGGTCATTCTTTATTAAGGATATGAGTTTGGTTCATTTCAACCAAGATTTTAACCTTCTGGCAGATGTGAAGCCATGGGAGAACAGAGGCAAAGTGCACATAGTTCTGCCCTCCAGGGGCTCAATCTGGTGGGAGATACATACAAATCATAAGTGACTACAGCGGAAGTGCCATCATCTTAATCTTACTTGTCTGTCTAGATATACTTCTCAATGACTACATTGTAATAATAGACAAAATTTAATCAAGTGGAAGCAAATTTGGGATAAAAATATTTTCTTAGCACAATGCAATATAGTTACTTTTTATAGATGATGCCCCCGATCTGTTCTGTGTATACATTCTGTGTATACATTGCTATGTATATAAACTCTAATAAGTTTTCCGGTGGATTTTGTTTTTCAGTTCCTATGCACAGTGCTTCAGGGTTTCCAGTAGATGGCAGCAGTTTAAGATTCTTTTTCATATTTTTTTTTTTTAAAAAAAAACAATTGTTGGGTCAAAAAAAATTTTTTTTTACTTAACATAAGGGAAAATTGCTTTCCAGGTGGCCAGCATCCTTTCATAAGTAGGAATGCTTTGAAGTACAGAATCAATATAATAGAGTGCATTTTGTTTTTAACAGGTTTTCATTGCCTTTACCTTTTCTTTTCTTTGTCTTACCCCTTTACTTTGGCTGGGGTAACTGATCCTTGCTGATATGCATGGCTGATTTACCACTTTTCATAAATGATAGAGAGAGTGTTAAGCCTCAAGACCATGGTGTTAGAACTGAATTTTTACCCTGGAGCCTTAAATATTAGATGACTTTATAGCAAACTCTTATGATGCATCTTACTGTTTACTGTCACTGTTGTTTTTTCCCCCCTCAAATTTGGCAGTATTAGATATTGGCCTGTTTCAAGGCAGTAAGGATTACATTTTGCCCCAAGTTAAGTAATTGTATATCAGAGACCTCTTAACCTCTTAGGGCTACAGTGAAACTTCATTCATAAGATGAGGGAGTTGGAGTAAGTGATGGCAGGCCCATTGCAGCTCTATGACTCTATTAAAATTCTATGACCATTTATTGCTTATTCCTGGTCAGAAGACCTTGTATATTCAGTTTTGACCAGAGAAATCCTGCAATAACTTAGTCTGGTAAAAAAAAATAAATAAATGATCCCGCTGAAGTGTAGGTTAATGATGAACTCAAGGTATTTTATGTTCAGTTTTGAAACAGGGTTCTTTGGAAGGCAAGAAAGAAGAAATACATATTTATTGGAAAGGGCAAGCTTTTTTTTAAGAAAAAAACTTGGCATTCAAGTTGAAATCAATAAGAACATAGTCCCTATAAAGAAAAATTAAAGCAAATGTTTACACAGTCATTTCCCAATGTGAGGATAAATTGTAAAGTGAAGTTGGAGAGAGGCCAATAGCTGCTTTCTTGATATTTGATGGTGTTGATGTTTGACCTTGTATCTACAGCTTACTTGTGACCTGATCTCACTCGTCACTGGGAAAGCTGGATTAAAGTGGAGTCAGGGGAGTGAAGGAGAGACAGAGGAAGGGTTTATTGTTTTTTGGGCAGTTACGCTTCATGGAGTGACTTTGTTGGGGCAGATTGCTCTCATCTCTTACAGAATACCTGGCGGTCTCTGGGCAGAGAAGATCTCCAATTTAGACATAACAAGATAAATTTAAGAATGAATTGTTTATAAAATTTGGTGAGATGTGTAAGGTGAGGAAAATAGGTTGAAATTGCTTATAAATGCATTCCTTTCTGAAACTTTGAGAACAGAAGCCAGTGTTTTGTTTTTATTTTTATTAACTTTTTTTTCTTTTTGAGGAAGGTTAGCCCTGAGCTAACTGCTGCCAATCCTCGTCTTTTTGCTGAGGAAGGCTGGCCCTGAGCTAACATCCGTGCCTATCTTCCTCTACTTTATATGTGGCACGCCTACCACAGCAGGGCTTGACAAACGGTGCCATGTCCACACCTGGGATCTGAACTGGCGAACCTCGGGCCACCAAAGCGGAACGTGTGTGCTTAACCACTACACGACCAGGGTGGCCCCTGTTTTTATTAACTTTTTTGTGGTGAAACAGTTCTGCTAATGTTACATAGCAGTGTTATACTCTATATACAAAAGAAAAAGAGAGCTAACTTCTATTTTCCTGTAGTTCTCATCTGGTAACTTAGCTATATAGGCTTATATAGTTATATAACTTAACTCTATAGGCTGCCTTTTAGATGTTCAGATTAGGTAGTGTGAACATGATTTTTATGCCAACATATTTGTGATTGCATTTGTGGTATCATACCTTACCCAGGCCACATTCAGCTGGATAGTATTTCTCCTAGTGCCTTCTTTGAGAAGTGATCTACCGTAGACCAACTTGTATGGGATGGTCTGTCGTCTACCAAGAAGTGTAACTTTCTTTCAGGCATTGGAATTTTTGTGTGTGTGTGAGGAAGATTGGCTTTGAGCTAAGTCTGTTGCCAGTCTTCCTCTTTTTGCTTGAGGAAGATTGTTGCTGAGCTAAGATGTGTGCCCATCTTCCTCCATTTTATGTGGGATGCCGCCACAGCGTAGCCTGACAAGCAGTGCTAGGTCCACGCTCGGGACTAAACCTGTGAACCCCGGGCTGCCACAGCGGAACGTGAACTTACCCACTATGCCACCGGGCTGGCCCCCAGGTGTTGGAATTTTTGTGTTACATCTTGTTGTTCCTAATCAACTCTTTCCTCACTTTCTTGAGTAATAGAGGGAACAGACATTAACACTAAGATTCAATAATACTTCGTCTGCAGAAACAAATCATTGTGGACCCCTTGAGCTTCAGTGAGGAGCGCTTTAGGCCTTCCCTGGAGGAGCGCCTGGAAAGCATTATCAGTGGTGCTGCCCTGATGGCTGACTCGTCCTGCACCCGTGATGACCGGCGTGAGAGAATTGTGGCGGAGTGTAATGCTGTCCGCCAGGCCCTGCAGGACCTGCTCTCAGAGTACATGGGCAATGTGAGTATCAGAACTTTCTTTGAAGTAAGAGGAATTTTCCATGATAGATTGAATCTGAGATGTTTTAACCATAAATATTAAATATGTTCTTGGCTCCTTGACTCTTTTGAGTGGGGCAGATTTTCAAGGAATGGATCCATAAATGGCTTTCTGTGTGCCACTTTCCTCCCCGACTTTTTATTTTGAACAATTTTAAACTTATAAAAATCATACAGTGAGCACCCATCTACCCTTTATCTAGATGACCAGTTAACATGTAGATACATCTGCACGTTTGTGTGTATAATTTATGTGTGTATATCTACACATATACAACCTTTTTTTCTATGAAATATTTGAAAGTAAGTTGCCTACTTTATGTTGCTTCACTTCTAAATCTTTCAATTTATTTTTAAATATTTATTTATTTTTAAGATTTTATTTTTCCTTTTTCTCCCAAAGCCTGGTACATAGTTGTGTATTTTTAGTTGTGTGTCCTTCTAGTTGTGGCATGTGGGACGCCGCCTCAGCATGGCTTGGCAAGTGGTGCCATGTCTGCACCCAGGATCCGAACCGGCGAAACCCTGGGCCGCCAAAGAGGAGCACACAAACTTAACCACTCGGCCATGCGGCCGGCCCCTATTTTTAAATGTTTATATTTAATAAATATAAAATAAATTTAGAAATAAATTTAAATTTATTTCTAAATTTAAATTTATTTCTAAATATTTCAAGTATTTTAAAATATTTCAGCATGCATATCCTAAGGATAATGACGTTCAATACCCCTAAAATTCCATTATCACATCTAGGTGGCCATCTAATTTTGGGCAAAAGGGAATGCTGAAAATATTTATAGTTGATGAGGTTCTTTTCATGAACCATAAAGAGTGTCCTAAGAGTAGGTAATTGCCAAGTAGAGCTGTAATAGGCAAACTGAGTAGTGTTTTTGAATTTTTAAGGTTTGTGTTTAAAAAACAGTGCTGTGAAATTTGACACTTAACACTTTTTGCCATAGAAAATACTGTACTTGTTGATTCCCCCCTTCTATTGTCAGTGTCTTTGTCTTCCTTTTTCCTTCCCGAATACTTCGTCTTCACTGCAGTTGTTTAATGCTAACTTAAGCTTACTGAAGTTTAGACCTTGAACCCATTATTTTACTGTGGCAAAGAAGGAATAAATTGAATAAAATCGTTTTAAAGGGAAGAGGGACAATACAAATTAGTTCTCACTAGTGATTTTTGCCTATTTAATACTTTTCAGGAAAATATCTTGACACTTTCTCATTTGTTCATTTGCCATATATCTTGTTTGTTCACTTATGTGCTTATGTAAGTGAACATGTAACAGTGAGTCATGCTGGAATTCCTAGGGTGAAGATGAATGCCTTCTTGTGCCTATCTTGCTTCTACCATATTGTGAAATTAGTGAAGCATGTTGCATTTTTTTAAGCCATTGCCATGTTTTGATCGTATGCAGTCTCCCTCAGAAAAATGAGATTAGAGGCTTAGTTAAATCAAATGGAAAAGCAGTTGATAAGTCACAGTGAAAATGTGGGACACATTTAAAAATCCACATCTAAGCTTGAAAATCAGAAAATATGAAAAACGGATAATTTGAAGACTGGCTCACAATGTTGGAGTCTTAAACAGGGAGACAAAGGACTCATGATGTGTATGTGGACCAGTTATCTGCTATCATGTGTAGCGCTGAAGTCGTAGAACAGTGTTCAATGCATTTATGATTAGGAAACCACTTTGAAAATAGCCTTTGGTGGGAAAGAGTATGTGATAAAGCTGTTCTCAGTGCTCTATATTAGCGCTTCCTACCCAGTCTACAAGATACCCCTTGAATCTTGGGACTGGTCAGATCTTGGGTTAGTCATCCCTGGTCATGAGTTACCTTCTGGTTTTTCCCCAGAGTGTCAGACAAATAGTATTTTCTGTTTGTGTCATGGATGTAAGTAAAGATGGTAAACATTTGTACTCAAGACATAGAGACCATAGCAGCACTCTTAGATAAAATTTTATTATCTAAGTGAAAACTAGAACAATGATTGCTGTTTGGTTGAAATTTATGGATTATGACGGGGGTTTTGAAAGAAATTATTCTTGAGATTCAGAAATATATTTTTAGAAGATGGTCTCTGAACATGTTTCTCCTAAAGAGGAAATATTTAGTTTCCTTGTATTGACTTGTGTAGTTGTGAGCAGGCTAGGTCCTGTCAAAAAGCAATGGAGTGAGAATAAAGGTAGAGGGCAATGAAGCATGCTTGAAGAAAGCTTAGAGCAGTAAAAGAGTGCAAGAAGCAGAAGCAAGTGGGGGTGAATTTTTGCTAATTATGATGCGTTCAAAAACATTTAGAACCTCTAGTGACAGTCAGAACTTAACTGGCAGTGTCTGCCTGTCACTTAGTTCATATAGAGTGTGTGTCACACGCAAAGTAGTGTGCTGGGCACTATGTAAGAGGAGGAATTAGACACTGATCCCTCCCTTCTGAATCAGACAGGGTCTCTACAAGGCATTTATTGGGAGTGCCGTCATAGGTACCACTGAAATGCCATGGGGATTGCAAGGAGGATGAGATTATTTCTAGCTGGAAAACTCGAGAGGACTTTATGGAGAATTTATTCTTTAGGTTGAGCTCTACCTTGATATTTAAAAAATAGTTCCCTTTAAGTTTTGATTATTTCTGTTGAAAAATATTAAACAACCAATTATGGTATATGGAGAATTGAGACAATCTGGATTAATTAAAACTGGTTCACTATGTGGAACATTGTAGACAGAGTGGTAAAGTCCAGAAAGGCACATATTTTTACTTTTTTAATTTCCTGGCTTCTCTCACAATGTCATTATTTTTATAGATACATACTCTTAAAATCTTGCCAAAATCTCTTGAGTCTTTTCCTTCTTCATCTTGTGTTGCCACTTACCAAGTTACATTGGTTTTTCATCTAAGGCGATGATTCTTAACTTTGGATGCGTGTTAGAATCCTTAGGGAACTTTTAAAAGTCCTGATGTCTGGGTTGTACCCCAAGTAAGTCAGAATCACTGGATTGAGGTCCAGGCATCAGTATTTTTAAAAGTTCCCCAAGTGATTCCACTGTGCAGTGAAGGTGGAGAAACTGCTCAGATGGTTTATTGCATTTGTCCCTTTCTGTCTCCACTGCTGTTCCCTTATTCCAGACTCTACTCAGTTTCTCCAGTTTCCAATCTGTTCTGTCCACTCAGACCAGTGTGAGCTCATGCCTTCAGGAGGATGTTGTTTATTATGTTTTTGAAATTTCCTTTCCACCTGTTTAAACCTAACCTGCTCTTCCTTCAAGGCCCACATTTTTTCCCCCATCTCTTTGCTGAAGGCCATTTCAAACTGCACCATTCTACATTATTTCTTTGCTGCTTGAAGTTTTGCACCTAACTCTTTACTTCCTTGAATTGTTGCTTACTTATATTTCCTTTGTCCATGTAATTTTGGCAACTAGGTTTTAAGCTTTTGAAAGAAGGAGAGTATTTTATTTTATTTGCCTTTTCCCCCCTAGTTATTTTATTGAGATCATAATGGTTTATAACACTGTGGAATTTCAGGTGTACATTATTGTTTGTCAATTTCTGTATATACTGCATTGTGCCCACCACCAGTGGTCTAATTTTTATCTGTTGCTGTACATATGTGCCCTTTTACCCCTTTTGCCTGTCCCTCATCCCTCTTCCCCTCTGGTAACCACTAATCTGTTCTGTTTATTCATATGTTTGTTTATCTTGCATTTATGTGTGAAGTCATTCAGTGTTTGTCTTTCTCTGTCTGGCTTATTTCACTTAGCATCATACCCTCAAGGTCCATCCATGTTGCAAATGGGATGATTTTTCCTTTTTTTTTTTTTTTTTAATGTGAGGAAGATTGGCCCTGAGTGAACATCTGTTGCCAGTCTTCCTCTTTTTGCTTGAGGAAGATTGTTGGTGAGCTAACATCTATGCCAGTCTTCCTCTACTTTATATGAGATGCCACCACAACGTGGCTTGATGGGCAGTGCTAGGTCTGTGCCTGGGATGTGAACCTGTGAACCCCAGGCTCCCAAAGTGGAGTGCGTGAAGTTAACCACTGTGCCACCAGGCCGGCCCCCAATTTTGTCTTTTTATGGCTAAGTAGTATTCCATTGTGTGTGTGTATATATATATATATATATATATATACACACACACACACATACACACCCCACATCTTTTTTATCCATTCATCTGTAGAAGGGCACTTGGGTTGCTTCCACATCTTGGCTATTGTGAATAATGCTACAGTGAACATAGGGGTGCCTAAATCTCTTTGGGTAGTTGATTTCAAGTTCTTTGGATAAATACCCACTAGTGGGACAGCTTGATTGTATGGTATTTCTATTTTTAATTTTTTGAGAAATCTCCATAGTGTTTTCCATAGTGGCTGTACCAGTTTGCATTCCCACCAGCAGTGTATGAGAGTTCCCTTTTCTCCACATCCGCTCTAACATTTGTTATTTTTTGTTAGTAATTATAGCCATTCTGACCAGTGTAAGGTGATGTCTCATTGTAGTTTTGATTTGCATTTCCATAATAATTAGTGCTGTTGAACATCTTTTCATTTGTCTGTGGGCCATCTGTATATCTTCTTTGGAAAAATGTCTGTTCATTTCCTCTGCCTATTTTTTGCTCAGTTTTGTTTTTGTTGTTTAGTTCTGAGTTCTGTATATATTTTAGAAATTACCCCTTGTCGGACATATGATTTGCAAATATTTTCTCCCAGTTGGTGGGTTGTTTTTCATTTTGTTCATGGTTTCCTTTGCTGTGCAGAAGCTTTTTAGTCTGATGTAGTCCCATTTGTTAATTTTTTCTTTGGTTTCCCTTGCCTGCCTGAGTAGACATGGTATTTGAAAAGATGCTGCTAAGACCAATGTCAGAGAGTGTTCTGCCTATATTTTCTTGTAGGAGTTTTACATTTCAGGTCTTACATTCAAGTTTTTAATCCCTTTTGAGTTAATTTTTGTGTATG